ATCTGCTGCGAAATTGCGCGTGAAGCAGTCTGGCATTGTTGGATGAATCTTTCTAAAGTGACAGAGCTATCACCGGCGGAGATCATGACCTGATTTTGCATAAGTATGGGAAGCATGCGGTATATATCTCTCTTTCTTAATTCCATAGGCTGCTCTGACTCCTCCGCGAGTGTGGTGAATTCGGCCAAGAAATCAATGAAAACTTGCTTTGGGTCTATCTTTAAGTCCAAAAATTCGTCACGAGCTGCCTGCTTATGGTTTGGATCATGGAAAACAGTTTGCAAATAATTGAAGATCTCCTCAGTAGTCTGATATGGGGTCGTAGAATCTTCTTCCAAACGAGGGCTGATGTGACTTAATGCCTTGCCTTCGCAGCGGCTCACAATGTAGGCAAACTGGTGGGATGTAGTCGGGTAGTGGTCCGGGTTCAATAAAAGCTTTCTTTTCATGAGACCTTTCCAATGCTTGAACTTCACATCTTTACCGTCATTAAGCATAGGGGGATTTGGCATTTTGGTAGACTTGCGAGGGAGTTCCTCCGCATCCGGGGTGGTACGAGTTGAACCAAGTCCACCATCACTAATATGGTTACCACGGCCAATCTGCATAAATCGCATCGCGGTAGCGAGTCCGTCACGCTCTTTGATAGTATTTTCTAATTTCTTTTCCACAGAGGTAAGATCGGCACGGAGACTAGCGTAAGCCTCTTCCATGTGCTGGGCTTTGACAGTAGGGGTTTGTTCCATCAACTGGGTGATTCTTTCCTTCATCAACGTATTCTCTTCAAGAAGTCGTTGGTTCATTTCAGCCTCCTGGTTCAGCGCTTGGAAAGCTACCCGGCTATTATGGGAGATCCACTCAAGTAGCTGTTCAGGAGTTTCAAGTTCGTATTGAGCATTTTCATAGCTAAAGTTCAGTGAAGTTCGGCGAGGGGTTCGTTCCGCTGAGGAGGGTCGCTCGCGTGATCGTGCCATTGTGGCTTCGGTACAAGTCGGTTCAGTTCGGTGGTTGTGATGATGGTGAAACTTCTAAGGCTGGCTTTGAGTTTGTAAATTATCTCGATGCCCGTCTTAGACTTTGAAGTGTAAGGTTTGAATGAGGTTTTTCGACTATGTTATGTGCCAATAAGTTCGAAATCAACTTGTGCATTCAACGAAGGTCGAAAAGCCTGATGGAGAAAAGGAAAGAGAAATCTAATTTGCAGAAGGTATTAAGATGATGAGATCACCGGAACATGCCTTCGTGACGGGATCTCCCTTCGGTATCCTCCTTCCGCTACTGATTTCTTCTGCAGAAGAAATCCAAGTCCGCAATCCAAGTCCGCTAACTCTCGCTAACTCGTAACAATCTTGACAGTCTATACAACACAAATAGTGACAATCATCAGCTACGCACCAACGGTAATAGATTGTCCTGCTAAGAGGACATCGAGCTTTCCCTCAATAACATCGAGGGTAATTACACTAGATATAAGCCCTATCGCCATTGTCTCAATGATTCGACCGGAGCCTTAAGTCTCTACATCAACGACGCAGAGCCATCTTTTTCAAACAACCGCCACCGTAACTCTAAATAAGAGTACCCTCTCTCGTGTGGCTACACACTCAATTAGCTCTGCGGCTTTGATAAGTTATACAGCCGGTGCACTTAACTATTCCTCTATGACGGGACGTCTCCTCACGTCTATACAATCTGTACAAAAGTCTAAGACCGTAATCAGCAGCAATTACCGCCTGACCTCGATTTCGCCTTCAGTATCTTTACAGAGCTCCAGCACCCTCGCTCCGATTACCGTATCAATAGACCTCACCTTACAGTCCTCGCTAGGTTAGTATTGTTCTACCGCTTTAGTCAGCTGCTACGCAGTATCCGAGACGTAGTCAAGCTTTATTCTTTCAAGTACCACAACCTCTTCTGCAATAAAAACCAGCGATAGCCAAGACTCTTTCACTATTAGCTATCTTTTAACTGAGTCTGTTTCAACGAGCCTAGTCTGCACGAGGCTTTCCTGTGAATATCTATGCGACTTCAGTTCAAGCAAGCTCGGATTCGATAACACATGGGGTGACGACCACAAGCTCTGTATCCCATATTAAACCCACTGTCACTCTCGTGTCGTACAGTACAACTGCCATCTGTACAAGATATATCACCGTGGACGCTTGGCTGAACTCAGCTGTTCTCCCATACCACTGATCCCCGCGTCTGCGTAGCGGGAATACTATGAACGAATCGAGCTTTATTGTTGAACCTGTGCTTGTTGTGCTTGATACCGACATATCGCATTCAGCAGGGATTACAAGATAAATTGCTAATAAGATGTTCATTTATTACAAAAAGTTTGCGCTGAGTAGCTGATGAGATACGGCTACGGTAGGGGCAGCGGTATCGATGTGTGAGAGGGGTGATGAGTGCGATTGCTGTGGGGGGGAGATTCTACCCAAGCTATGGACTGTGGTGAGTGGCAGAATCACCTGCCATGCAAACAGTAGCGCAATTGTGCCATGGTGGTCCGTGTCAATCGGCTGTCGCTCTGTGCCATTTATCTCTTTGAGCAAGGTCAAAGCAACATTGATGAGTTAATACGAAGCTACTTTCCCTGAAGGAAAGCCTTCACTCTCTTTCTATTCTATTCAGCTCGAGGCACGCCACGGCTTTGTTCTTCTGTAATAAAACCAAGTCAACGCCTAACCGGAGTGGCAGTAGTCTGTTGTGAACAAGACAGGACTTTCTCGAGATAGGCCCCGGAGAGAACCGCCTAGGCCTGGGGCAGGTATGGGACACCCTGGGGCGCCACCACCTCAAAACCCTGACTATCACTGTAGCTTCTCCTTCTTCTGCTTTCTCCGCTCTAGCTCTTGAGATTCTCGATATCGTGCAGTCATAATGAATAGTGCATGAGCCCTTCTGAGACTTTCTAGCATACAACATAGTCTATATTGGACTGGATAGGCTAGAATCCCCTGGAAATCACCGAATATACGACGATTCTTCCATCGAGCACGATCCACTTGGAGACGTCGCAGACTGGGGTCAATACAGTACCATAAGCTAAGTTCTCACTTAGATGAAAGGGTGTTTTTTTGATTTGGATGAGCATCAACTAATTCACCTTTGGGGCTTGAAGTTCTTTGGACAGTTTTCTGAGCTCTATGCATTAAACCCAGTCTTTTTTCCATAGTTTCCTATGATAAGAATCTTCTGGTTCGTTACGAAGATATTCTATTTGCGAAATAAGCTGTTTTCGGCAGTCTCTGAAAAGTCGTTATCCATTTCGAGTAGTTCTGACTATATCTTGAATCTGCGATGACATATTTGAACCGAGCGGGCAAGGCCTTTCAAATTGTGGTAAGTTTGTTAAATTTCAAACCCTGATCAAGGACACAACATTTTTAATTTATAGTGTTGAATGCCATTGAATCGACAGAAACCTGGGATCCTTTGTATAATTTATCTGCGATGCAAGAAGTGCTTGATGTTTGTTTTTGTCAACAGAGAATAGTTCTTGATAAACCAGGTCATGATTACACAGCCTTATTTTGAATGTTGTGTCACAGGACCTTCGTCTATAGGATGTTTGCCGATGTCGCTGCATTGATGAGCCTGGCCGGTGAACCATTGCGTCTTTTGAGACGGCTCAGAGTCTCGCTGGGCCCCCTGTGGTGGTTTTTGGGCTCCATTGCCAGTGTCCTTGACAGGCGTAAGTGGAGTTTCTGGCACAATTTCGAGTCCCGGCTGGAAATTTTGTCTTGAGAAAGTTCCTTTGTATGGCCAAGGCCATGGCACATCTTTCCCCTCTCGTACCATGATCAACGTCTGAGGAAATGCAGGCTAGTTGAGAAATTAATCGGCTGGTTCCTTGTGAATAAGAAATATACTGTCGCTTGGTATGAGATGCTCACTTAGACCATAGTAAAAGACAATAGAAGAAGAACAGTTCTGGGCCGCAGACTGCTCCTGTCAGGTGTCGACGTATTTATTCCAGCATTGTCTTTGCAGTGGGAGCAGAGGCGGCATAGCAGGTGCTCCTAGTATAGAATGGTTGCATAATTATAAGTCAATACTGCGCATTATCTAGCTGTCAATGACCTACTCTTGTCAAATTACAAGTCCCCGGATTGCTGTTTGAGGTGTGTTAGCCTACTGCGATCCCATAGGTCACGCATTGGGTAACTTGTGTGGAATTTCGTTTTATGTGCCTCTTTCCCAGTTACACAACGCTTCTAGCGCTCTGTCTGATTTTGACTGGCCTAGTAGAATAATTGTTAGTTACAAAACTATCCATTACGTAACTTTGACGTGTTATAGTTACTCGGGGGTCAAAGAAATGCCGAACAAAAGCACATACAAGACTAGGTCATTTGGAATACTTTTTGAGTTGATGGTACCTCAATCAAGCTAGCCGGTCCTACGGGCGGGAACCTCGGGCCATAGAATAAACCACAAAAGACTTGATCAATACTTTACAGAATCATCAGACTCTAAGGTGGTGTCGACCGAAGGATCTATAGTTACTGTTTATGATTTGTCGATACAGAGACTATCATGCCATAGATATTCAATCCACAAATTCAGTGGTCAGGGTCCAGTCTTTGAGCTTGGGCAAACCACCTCAAGCCGACACCTCGCACAAACCTTGGATACCTTGGATGAGAGGCCAATCACCGACTACCTTCAATGCAAGACGGCCGGCCTGTCCTGATTTTGTGACAAAACGGTGAATAGCTGGCAAAAGTATGCATTTTGGGTGGTTGCAATGCATTCTCCACATCGGTGTATAATCATGACACCTACAAAAAACTATTTGCCAATACATCTTCTCTCGTATAATAGATGTATATCCTTCATAATTATTATCTCAGGCACCTTGAGAAGATGAAACCGCGCCCCTTACCTTCAATCCTCCATAAACGTGGTGAATACACCGACAAGGCCTCTGTCCGAGAGTCCCAAGAACGCAACCCTCAATGCCAATCAAAAAATGAACATAAAAAGGTCCTTCACCACCCAAGTGAGTTCTCCGATCCCAATGGCGCGCTGATTTTCTGTCTGGGATAAAGAGATCTTGTACTAGGACCAATGTTGGAATTGGGTGGCTTCATAGAGGTATCAAATTTTCCCTCCCTATAAGTCAAATTGCCGTGTCTACGTAGCCTTCTTCTTCTGCGGTAATGGCGAGCGATCCAGAACATTCCGGCACCGTAGGCTATGGCGCCGACAACAACGCCAACGCCAATCCCGGCAGAACTTCCATTGGCACCAGCAGTATTTCCAGAACCATCTGTATTACCCAGACCGCTCCTGCCGTCAGAATGACCACCACCCTTGCTGTTTCCAGTAGAACTACTGGGGTCCCCAGGGCCTTGAGATGTTGAGACTATGGGTCTCGATACTGCAGATGTAGTGTATCTTCCTGACACCATATGTGACAAAGTAGAAGCGGTGGTGGTGGGAAAGAAAAAATCAGTGTCACTGGCGCTTGTGGTGTGGGCAATAGGCGAGGTGTCTACAGTCGTAGACACCTGTGCCGTCTCCGAGATTGGTGCGACAGTGTCCAAAGACAGAGAATTTATTGATCCGTGTCCATTTTTTGGAGTCATAATCGTGGCGGAAATATGGAAGATCATGTTCCTCGAACCTGAGGTGGTCATCCGAGGTGTATAAGATGTTGGCTCAATGCCTGTACCGGCCAAGCTCGCAGAGATTGCAGCCAGTCCTGCAATGATTGACGGCCTGCTAATAATAGACGGCTTGATAGTCGAGCTCCACGTGGGTTCCGGGATAATGATCGTGTGGACGTGTCCCGATTCATAAGCTCCAATCGCGAGTAATGAAGTAGCATCACCGACACTGTTGGTGAGTTCTTCGGTAGGCATTGAAATCACAATATATATCGAATTTGAGGTCTGAGTTGGAATTGTGTTAGCCACTATAGCCGAGATAGGTGATTTAATGAAGGTAGTCATTGGATACTCGAATGGTCTCCAAGTCGGGCTGGTTGATCTAGAAGTTTGGATAGTCGGTCTGAGCAAGGTCCTTGTCACGTGACTTGTTGTGACGGGGAAGCTATGAGAAATGGTCATGATCAGGGTTGTAGATTCGATATCAGGCGCACTCTTCGTGCGCAGCGAGGCGCCAGTGGTGATACTGAATATGAAGGATTCGCTGACGCTCCCCCATAGCGCAGATATCGAACTTATGGCACTCGAGTCTTTCGTTTCGACAACGGACATGCTATGTACGCCAGCAGGAACCGACGTCACACTGCTGGTAGCTACGACGTGGGAGCTGCTACCCGGTGAATAAAGCGGAATCGCGGTCTTTGGGTCAGAGGAACTTGTCGACACGGAAAGCCTGCCCGTGGTCGTTACCAAGACGTTTCCACTTGTAGAATCAGTAGAATCAACTGAAGTTGATTGTTCTGTGACATATGGAATTGTATCCGATACGATGGTGTTCATACTCAAGAAGCTGGGGACCGATGGGGGTGAACTTGTGCCAACTGTGCTAACAAAACTGCCAGTCCTGCTGATAGATTTTGAAGTGTGATATGTCTCCAAGGAGATGCTCCAACCACTATCAATAGGACCTGAAGTGCGCGACCGCGCGACGGAATTTCCAGTCATTGTGTTTAACTCCAGAGCGTTGGTACTGGTAACGGAATGGCCAGCTAATTCACTGAGCGACGTTTTGTCTGCTATAGCAGAAGGAGTCTGGCCGATCGCTGTCCACTTTTCCGCTGTCGATTCTCCGGCCTTGGACCCAACCTCCTGGCCCTTTGGGTTTCTAGTTGCATCGACACTGCCGCTAATCTGGGTGATCGAAGTAGCTGCGGTGACCTCGGTAGTTGCTGCGACTGTTGAGGTAATCTTGTAGACAGACTGTGGGGTAGCTACTGTGGCGATGTAGGGAATAAATTTGGTTGACCTTGGAATCATGCCTGTTGTCGACGAATTGCTGAAGGCCACGCTATATGCCTTCGATTCCAGCGCGGATGTACTTCTACCAATCATCTCAGTAGTGGTAATATCGTTTTTACTTGGCAGAAGGAGATAGGTTGAGGCATCAGTGCTGATGGTCAATGAAAGCGTATTTCTGGACACCAAAGAAGACGTTTTCGATGTCATGACCTCACCAATGGAGGCCGGGCTGCTCGTGGTTCTTACTGTTTCAGAGTGCTGAGAAAGATTTGACTCTGAAAGAGACGGTAAGGCTATCAACGTGATCAACAATGCACGTGTTGCAGTGCTGCTGTCAATCCAGGGAACGTTTGTACCGGTGTTGGTATCGACGAGCGGCGGTACAACGAGGGTAAAGTGCTCGCTAGGCTTCTGTGAAACTATAGTCACTGAGTTGCCGGCAGCGTTAGACTGAATGGTGAAATCGTGCTGACTCCTGATCCAATAGGAACTCAAGAAGGCTTCTGCGCCCTCGCTCTGCACATTATAGCCTTCTGCAACAGTTCCGATGTCGCGAGTCCTGTGGTACAGTGTCTGGGTCGCGTCTGTACTTAATCTGGCTCCTTCTATCATGACCACCGCGAGCATAGAGATGTGGACGCGCATATTAATACTCAGAAGGCCCCATTCAAGGCGGGGCGCCAGCAAATGTCTGATTCACATAGAAATTAGTGATCTACTTCGAGGGTGAATCCAAATCAGTTGCGCAGGACATGGGGCGTGAGAGTTAAATGTATGAGGGCTACTAATGCTGACTGCTATAAATAAAGAACTCGGGTTCAGTGCAGAGGTAGGAACACATCACTCTTCTTTGATGGTCTCGGTTTTTCTCGGATGGATTATCTAAGCTTTCCAACGTTTTGCCATTCTACTCCTATGGCTAATTATTACGTCTGAGTATCTCTAGGAGTATTGAGGATTTACGCAATTTTTGGGTCCCCTTCATTCAATTGCTGCTACCATAAGAGTGCTGCCTGATGGTCCTCTCTCGGTGGCTTCATAAAGTGGGTTGATCTCTCCGTGGGGGGTTTGTGACCATGCGACAAATAATGACTATCAAACACTGGCGTTAGGGCATGTCAACTTTGACTAAGCTTGTTGTTAATCGTTGTTGATAGGAATTGGAGAATCGAAGGTCATGGTGCTTCGACGGCATTCTTGTCAAATGCGGGGAAGCTTCAACGGCTTCGTCGTGCTGTCCACTAACCTGTGAGGTCGAAATCATCTCAGCCTGTATGGTAAGTGGTAACTCCTTATATTCGGATTCTTGCAAGCATATGTGAGCCTACCGAGACCTAAACTTGCCGCATAGTTCTTTCGACTTACGAATCCGACACGAAATCTCAGCTACTCAGCTCTTCGATGTACCTGCCCAATAAATCCCGGTTACTAAATCTTCCTATGGAGATACGACTACAGATCTACAACTTCGTTTTTGACCTTCATGACGTATACTGGAAAAGGCCTCTTATAGCCATTCGAGATCGTGGAAAGGTGTTTACAACGCGTGAAAAATATCGCATTCTTTCGATTTGTCCTAGCTGGGCCATCCAAGATGTTTCTTCACTTCAGCTGTTACTTGTGAATCACCAAATTCACATGGAGACCGAGGCTTACATCTTTTCCCGGAGCACTCTGTTTTTCCAACACTCGTTTGATCCCTGCCGGCTAGGAACCTTCTTGGATACGTTGAGTGTGGTGTCACGGCACTCTAATCAAAGTGTCGGATTCGAGATTCGATTGTTTGTTCATATTGAAGAAGGAATCCCGAAATATCCCTTGATGAGTTATCACCGAGCTCATGAATTGCTTGCCGCAAAACTCCCGAATCTAAAGGAAATCCTGTTCTATTTGAATCCCGATTTCTGCAACTTTTATTTTGAAACCGCCGACATTTCCGCTGCTGCAATTCGCCTAGCCTGCATATCCCAATCATCTCCGGTACAGGTACAATTTTTTGTTGCTCATGGAGAGCTGACTTGATGTGTGATAAAGACAAGAATGAAAGGCTCTATATCAGCTTACGAGTACCCAAAGATTCGGTTACTATTTGACCGTAGGATCCTACAAAGGGAAAACCTGAAAGGTGAAAACACTCGACGTTGACTAGAAGAAAAGGAGGAAGAAGGAAGCTAAGCTAGACTACTGAGGTTGGTGGTCCCAGGTGGTGAGGGCGTAGCCCAAGCAGTATAGCAGGCCTCACCAACGAACAGTTACCTCTCCTCTTCTACATCTTTACTATGGAGAGGTACCGGTAAGACTTTACAGAGAATCATTTCTCCTCCTTCCTTAGCCCTGCATCCTGTATATCGAGATTCGCACCGCCACTATGTAACCAGGTAAGCATCCGTACAGTCAGCTGTCAGGTATGAGTACGTTTGGCTGCGTTAAAGAAATTTTAAGAGGTCGATGAATGAATGCTACATGTTGTTCTACGATGTTAAAGGCCCTAGCAGCGGAACAGACTTGACGATTCCTTTTTTTAGTGTGGCACGTGATCATTTAACTGACATAGTCCGTAGCTCAGGTAGAATCTATCCCTCGTAGCGATTTCACATATCATGCCTCTCATATTGCGAAGGCTGCACCGACTGTAGCTAATTCCGTTCCTTTGTAGCGTTTGGAAAGCCCGGACTGCCTCAGACTGTACTTCACACAGAATACATAAGAGAGAGAATGACAAGACAAGATCTGGATTAGGGGGAGGGGACAACCAAGCTCAAAGGTGGCATATCATTACATGTGTGCTGTTTTAAAATAAGCCGTAATAATTGCAAAGCTCCACTCCATAAGGAAGCTGTCTTGATTTGGTCTCGACTTTGACTAATCCCATGGTACCAAATGAAGATCGCAGGCGCATTTGAGAATTTTCATCCACCTCCTACAAGGGTAGCGACTCTCCTGGCGAGTATCCCCTCCCATTGCGGCTGACCTCTTTTGGACTATATGAGCAATTATTACGCGTCGCGAATAGTCTCGAACTGGATATAGAGATGCCAGCAATCAGGTTCTTAAGCTAATAGACCCGGGTACGTTCCTTGCCTATAATGATTCTCGGCGATGCCTTGGAAGCTTACATTGGAAGTTTTCTTCTCGGGTTTTACTCTCTTGTGGCTCTACTTCTGAATGCTTCCTTCGCAAGCTTCATGTATAGCGCCCAAATAATCACCCTCTAATGTTAAGTCAATATTCTTGCTTCTCCATCTCTCTGTTCCAAGCTTGCAAAAAGCTTCCTTACTGATCTCGGATCTCTTGTATTCTTTCTTGGAGCTGTGTGAAAAGAGTCCTTGCGAACCTTGTTGAATGGTTTTGGGTTCTTTAAGACCAGCTTTCACAGCCAACTATTTCAACAGACCACAGATCATTTTGATGTCATTTCAGAATTATCAATGCGAGGTATTGGCCATGTACGTGCAGAATGTAGCCTGAGTTTGTTCACGATCAAAAGATTCGTACAAGCGATATTGCTGTGTAATCGAGCAAGCCATAGGTACAAGTCTCAAGGTCTTTGTGAAACAAGGTCAGTTGTCACGTGAGACTGATTGAAACCGGCGGTCAACCTAGGCTCGCTCCCGGCCTTTATGCCCATGCCGGAAATGGCGGGGTCCAGGCCGAGTAAATGGTGTTGCGTCTTTGCGAGAGACTGACTCGCCGATAGCGCGATGAACAGAGCTATATCCGGGAGGGGCAGAGGGGGAGCCAAGTGGTGGGCGTGCGTTATCTTGATAAACTTTCAAAGAATTTACTCTCCAAAATACCTCTTTGAAGGCAGCGGGGTTATTCTGAACAAATAGATTGCAAGTTGGAGCTTGGGAGGCGCAAGAACCGGAGGACCAGACGTTGCCGGCCCAGTCACCACAAAAGGTGATATCGAAGACCTAGATCCAGAGGAACTCACGGGTAAGATGTCAAAGGTTTATGTATCCCAGAGTATCAAAGGTTACGTTGAACGTACAATTCGCAGATCTTTGAAATGGTTATCAATATCGCAGTATTCAGAAAACGCAGCCGAAGGCGTACCCCATGTTGCCGGATCTGGCTGACCAATGATGATATTCCATGGAATGCCATAGCGAGGAAAATGCCAGACCTTGATTCCGGCGGATTTCCACTCTGTAGCATATATACCGCCACCAGCATTGTTGAAACCGTCGCCATAGGATTGGGGACTACCACTCAGGATAGCGCAACCGGAGTTAAGCGGTTGTCCCGGGGCCCCGACGTAGCAGTTAGAATATTCGAGAGAGCCAGTGAAGCCTGAATTTTGAATTGAGCATCCATCTTTCGTGTGAAGAGTCATTTGATTGACCGACTGGCTATTCACGCCTTCGATGATATCAATTTCGCCGTCATTAGGCCAATCTGCTCCAAGCATCCAACTATTCGCATAGTTATATATATACTCGAGTCGAGGAACTCTGACAGGTTCATCAGGAGAGTTGCACTTACAAGGCAGGCCATGTCCCGCAAACGCTAGCCGGCATGTGTGCCAGATCAAGAATGAATAAGCCGTGCCCGTAGGACCTGGTACTTGTTAGCCGCACACTTTGCCGACCGGAGCCAGAGGCCTGGTGCTCTGCGTCGACGCCGATGTATACAGAACTACCCATTGCCTCAATGAGACCGCGAACCGTGGCTGCCGACCGATTCATGTAGCTCACATAGCCGTGTGTGGGATCCACGTCCTGTAACGACGAGTCAACAAAGTACACCAAGGCTTGACGACCGACCTGATTCACTAAAGTGATATCTCACTTTCTGTCATGTACATACTGTAAAGAAGTTGAAACGGTCGAAAAATACGTCGGTGGTTTCGTAATCATCGTGCAGAGTATATGCGGCGCGACTGATCCGGGCGAGCAAGCTTAAAAGCGGAATGGTGGTGTTAATTCTACGCATGTTGTCTATCCGTTCTTATAGAGAAAATGGCTGAGTCGGCGCTGGTATAGGTTGAATGTTTGGGGCCCTTGTTGGGAATCGTTAGCAGGATGGTTTTTCTAAGTCGAGAGCTCTAGATGTGATTGAACTCGATGGGTAGGTTTAATGACTCGTGACCAGGAGCGCTGATTCATGGAAGTTAGAGTCAACGTTGCGAAAGCCACCCTCTTGGATGCGGAAATAACCTACCAAAGCTATCTGAGGACAGAAAAGATAAGCACAGAGCAGATGAAAGACCAAGCAAAAGCGGGGACAAGTCAACTCACCACTCCTATCTTGAGAGGAACCAAATCGAACCATTTGTTTTTCATCATTCAAACTGCCAAGATTCGGTCATTTTGCCAGATAAACTCTGGCCTGTGGATAAAGGCAAATGATTGTGAAAGCCGCCAGGTTCGTAATTCTAGGAAACAGATTGCGTGAACTTTACTTGCAAATCATATCTATATAGGATGACTACAAATGATGTTCAAAAACATCTGAAGCCCCAATTATTACGCTTTGAACTTCTACACATGACATGGAACGCGAGCAAATACTTGCCGAATAGAGTATCATCACTGCATAGAAAAGGCCTGCAATCTTATGAGCAAGATCATGCAAATGAAAGAAGATTGGATCTGCAACTTCTATTGGCGTATCGCGGACCCGGAAGTGCGGCTGACGGTTTTCTTTGTCCGAAGTGTCATCGCTAGAAAATGAATACTTAGCAGGAGGTGGAGAAGTGGGGATCTTCCTAATCGTGACAGTAGAAGCCCTTTTTCATGAGTATGAAGTTGATGACTAATGCTATACCTCTTCAATGATTGGCAGCTGAGCAGTCTGTTTTTTTCTGAGATTAACGGGCATTTGCAAAGGGAAGGGGGTCTTAGAATGTGTATGTTTCCGTCGGGTCAAGGCTATGAAGACACAGGACTGCATGCTAAACCTCACATTAAATAGTCAGACTCGGAGGTCCTGTCTGCATGGCACGTGAGAAAATTTGGGACCCGGTGTAACGGGCCAGAGCCCGGTGGTTAACCATATACCATGGCTTTCCGGATACCGCCTTAGCAGAAGGGGGTCCGAGCGAGGTTCTAGTGGGTCCTACCCGAGGACGCTCTTAAGGACTGCGACCGACTCCTACCCCTTCTTCCTTCTTTCCTTAAGATCGTTGTAAACAGCATGTTGGCCTAGTACAATTGAATCAATTCTGCCACAGCCCTTCACACCCGGGGCCAATTCGGCCCTGACAGGAGGAGCGCTTACTAAGAGGCTCCTCCCACTAACGTAATTCACACCCGACCGGGCCACACAGCCGTCCGGGCCACCCTATCCAAAATCGCGTCTTCCTACCTACACTCTAACTTCAACCACCTACCATGCCACCAGTTCGGCCTGAAACTTCGCAGAAATCGGCCAATCAAGAGGGCAAGATTTTATTAGCCCTTGATTCACTTCAAAACGGCCGAATCAAATCTATTCGTGCAGCAGCTAGCCTATACGCCATACCACGTTCAACCCTGCAAGCGCGCGCCGACGGCCGAATCTCACGCGTTGATAAACGACCATCTGGCCATAAACTCACTCAATACGAAGAGAATTCGCTTGTTGAATGGATTATCTCTATGGACTCGCGTGGAGCAGCGCCTAGGCCTGCTACTGTAGGAGAAATGGCTAATATCCTACTGGCTGCGCGCGGTAGCCATCCTCCGCCTACCGTTGGTATTAATTGGGCATCAAATTTTGGTAAACGTCGCGATGAGCTTCGTACACGCTTTTCGAAACGCTACGACTACCAGCGCGCCCTAAATGAGGACCCAAAGTCGCTACGAGCTTGGTTTGCGACCGTACAACGCGTGATCGATGAGAACGGTATCCAACCCGAGGATATCTATAACTTTGATGAGACTGGATTCGCGATGGGCCTTATATCAGCGCAGAAGGTGGTTACGCGAGCAGAATACTACGGTCGGCGATCTATTCTACAGCCAGGAAATCGCGAATGGGTTACTGCTGTCGACGCAATCTGCGCAGATGGCTATTCGCTACCGCCATACGTGATCTTTAAAGGCAAAGTTGCTATTGCGGGTTGGTTTGATAACCTACCAAAAGACTGGCGGATTGAGGTCTCGAATAACGGCTGGACTACCGATGAGATTGGCCTTCGCTGGCTACAAAAGCACCTTATCCCATACACGAATTCGCGCGTACGAGGCCGGTTTCAGCTATTGATTCCTGACGGCCATGGAAGCCATCTTACACCCCAATTCGACCGGATCTGCGCAGAAAACAATATTGTTCCTCTTTGTATGCCTTCGCATTTATCGCACCTACTACAACCGCTTAATGTTGGATGCTTTGCAGTGCTTAAGCACGCGTACGGTCGCTTTATAAGCGATCTTGCGCGTAGAGGATATAACCATATCGACAAATTCGATTTCTTGGATGACTACCAACGCGCGCGGCTAGAGGCCTTCCAGCGGCCAGCTATTATTCACAATAGCTTCGTAGCTAGTGGTTTAGTACCAGTCGATGCCGAAAGAGTGCTTTCGAAGCTTAATATCTCTCTACGAACGCCTACACCACCAAGTACCCGGCCAAGCAGCAGATCTAGCCAATTCACACCAAAAACACCCAGGACCGTGATTCAGCTATAGAAGCAAGCTTCGATGCTTAAAGACCTACTAAAGCGGCGGTCGAATAGCCCACCGAGCCCATCAAAAACCATGCTAGACCAGATCATCAAGGGCCACTGTATAGCGCTACACAACACCGCGCTACTAGCGCAAGAAGTCACGAGTCTACGCGCAGCGAATGAGAAAATAGTGAAGAAGCGTACTCGGTCGACTAAGCATCTGCCCGGCGAAGAGGGTTTGACCGTCGAAGAGGGCCTACAGCTAGCTCAGCAGCTAAATCAGCCAGTTGAAGGTGACGAGGTAGTATCGCATGGGCAGGGCGAATTGCCTATTCCGGCAAATTTGCCACCTACCAGGGCCCCGCCTAGGTGCAGTGGATGTAGGGAGATTGGCCACAGGATTAATACATGTAAAAATCGCTATATTTAGTTGAATGAATAGGTGTTGGTTGAGATATGCCAACTTGAAATTTTTTAATGAGGGTAGGTGGCCCGGTCGGGTGTGAATTACGTTAACTAACTAACTAACTAACTAACTAACTAACTAAGTAAATACTAGGTACTTTACCCAAGATTTCTATGATAGCAATACGTGACGTGAATGAAGATTGGTTCAGCGCATTGTTGCTCCATAGCGGCGATTGAAAGTAATCGCAATTCTAAACATCATGGCTTTATGTTTATCGTGTTGCTCTTGGGACTTGGGTTACTCCGTATCTAATTTTCGATACCTGTAATGCATCGCTTTGTCCCAGGCGAGGAAATGAGGATACCTCACGATCAAAACCATAAATACAGTAAGATCATCAAAATCAAATGCATCGGCGTTTACTCGTTTCGGCTGGTGGCTCAGAGTTCTCAGAATTCTTGCGCTTTGACGTTTGACAAGTCGATTGCGAGTCACCTCCGTGTGCAAAAAAAGCAGGCGAAGCGGAGGGAAGCTCAAGATATAACATCTGCGTGAAGGTCATAGGGAGTCCACTGATAGGATGAGTACCTTTCTCATGTTCAAAGAGGCTGATGTGGATGGATGTATCTAGGCTGGGTATCATAACGGAGCAGCGAGTGAATCCCGTTTTAGGGAATTCTCTGTATATTTTATTTTTGGTACCTACTACAAAATACGCAACGTGTAAGTACCTACAAAGTTACCTTGAGATTGCCTCATCCTTGGACCACCGGGATTGAAGTATCAGTTGGGCATGAACTTGGCCATTTCGAGGATTATAGGCTGGTACTTGAGATAGTGTGCAGAAGAAGCACGAGGCTACCATGGCCATTGCAAATTGTCATTAATCTGCTCTCACCTCCGGTATGTTCATACGATGAATTGTTTGCTCTTCGGTAGCCTCGATTATACACGCGTCGTCTTAAGGAAATGATGTTTTTGAGAGCTCTTGTCGACGGTATTCAAGAATTTCTCATACATATGACTGGCGTCAATGGCACATCTTACACCCACCATGAACCGTTGAATTCAGGGAGGGGTAAAGATCGTTGTTATTTTGCTTCCGAAGGGTAGCTCCGAAGTTCGAAACCGACCGGCACCGAAGCTAGCGCTAAGATCTAGCACTCGGGTAACCAGTAATGAAAGAGAACTGTACCTATCCATGCTAGGCAATTAGCTACGAAGACTCCACGGAACTGTTGGAAACCGTGATAGTCCTCCAAGGTTTAGGTGAGAGATTACTTTGCGATTCCATCCCTAGCGCATTGGCCTAGCCCGCTAAGAATAGTGTCCGTGGGGACAGAATGAGAAAAAGTACGGCCTAATTTTGCATCCAGACACTTGATGTCCACGGATTCATTTTCAGTGGATTGAATTTCTCAGGAATATATTTATGCAAAGATGTAATGAAGGTTACAAGATCAGGCCATCTGTTTTTGAGAGAGCGGCGTCAAAACCTTTCAGTGTCCTTTGCAGATAAGGACCTCGTCACGAGGGCTGAAAATCGCGTAAATAGTTAAGAAGAAAAGGTCTGGTTATATAGCTTCTGTTCGAGAATCCAAGTGACCAGTCGTTGGTCAGATAGTACGTTATAGATATGCTTCAACAGCAAAACGGCAGAAATTTATGACTCATGATCAAAAGCAAATGATTGTAAGAGTCGCCAAGTTCAAATTATTAGGATACAGATTGTGTTTGCGTGGAATTTACATTTCAAGTCATAAGTCCATAGGATGGCTACTTATGATGTTCAAGATACCTGAAGTCATAATTCTTACGCCAAGAAATTCTAAGAATGACATGAAACGCGCCTAAGTATTTGTCGAATAAAGAGTATCATGACTGCACAGGAGAGGTCGGCAATCTTGTGAGCAACATCATGCAAATGGAGGAAGATTGGATCTAAAACTTCTATTGGCGTATCGGTGACCCGGAACTGCGGCTCACGGTTTTCTTTGTCTGAGTCGCCGCTAGAAAATGAACACTGGGCGGGAGGCGGAGTAGGAGTCTTCCTAATCATGTCAGTAGAAGCCCTCTTTTATGAGCATGGAGTCAATGACTGATGTCATTTACCTCTTCAACAACTGGCATAGGGGGTGGTTTTTTTCTGACGGGCATTTATAAGGGTAAGGGGTCTTAGAATGTGTATAGTTCCGCTTGGCCAAGGCTGCACAGACACAGGAGTGAAGTGCACGCGACTATATCCTACATTAAATAGCCAGACCCGGAGATCCGTCCGCATGGAACGTGAGAAAATTTGGGACCTGGGGCAAATTTGGCCCTAGCACGAGAATCCTCCAAAAAGAGCCTTCCTAATATTGTCTCGGTGTCATGTATATGAAATAATAAAGTGTGCGGGATCGTAACGAGACTGTCACGGCGCAAGTCATACGTGATGACTCAAGTCGATTCACTGTTGTATCGACCCCGCGTCGCCATAGGGTAACAACCCCAAGGGCTCCATGTGGGGCCATAGGGACTCGGTACGCGGAACCTCTATGTATATATTTTGGGAACTAGTGGAGTCCACCCGGACTCCAAGATTCAGTCTTTGAATTCAGACTCCTTAGACTTGGACTCTCTGCCTAGCCAACAGGTTCTCTGACCTGCGATACAGACCCCTAATCAAAAATGTTTTCCGCAACTCGTATCAATCTCGGAAAACAAGCTTAACTCACAGCCACAAGTTCTTTTTATCTAGTATTCAGTATTCACATACTCGTTGAATATCCTACCATAACTTAATACCTATAATCATTAACTACCTCTAAGATCGAAACCATTTTATATCCTAGGCTTTGAGGCTATTCAGAAGCTCGATCCTAATTTAAAGTTTATTACCTGAATCGGATGATATTCTGCGACCGTAAAGATATGATGTTTTGCGATCGTCAAGAGATACATGAGACTTGGTAACCTATTTGTATTATAATGCCTGGGGAGCCGGGTACTTTCTGCCTGAAAAGTGGACACGGTCCGTATACCACCAACGCAGAACGGGATGTGACTCAACTGTGTTCTGCACCCGCACTAATGAATGCACTGTCTCCTGGGAGGGTGCGACATGCTGGCGTCCCAATACATGTTTCTTATTGAATGCAATGCAGTATGTAGTATGCACTACTTTATTCCAAAATTAGACTATGCGTTTTTGCATGTCAAGAAAATTCAAATTGATGCTTTCAATTTCGAAGCTGGCACGCCACGGGTTCGAGAATGGTGGTAGTATTTTCGAACTGGCCTCAAGATTGCGTAGCAACATGCATCATGGTACCTGCCCATTTTAAACTTTCACCTTCCGTTTAATAAGTGAGGTAAATGTCGCTCTTCGCACCAACATTTTGCCCGAGTGAAACTCAGCTGCGCAATGGGCCCAAATCTTCAGAACATTATATTGAGGGGATCGCTGCTCGTCACTTCTTGCTTCGGGGCTGTTGTAAATGATTGCTTCGGTGCATATAGGGGAATGACTTCGGCTGGCGCAGATAATGGGCTTATCGCCACTTCCGTGGCTGCTACCGTAGTCCCCAGCACTCTTGCCAAAACTAGCTCTGACTATAACGATGCTTGCTCTAAGAGCACCCCCTGTAATGGTGACATCACTTACTACGATACAGCAACCACGGCTTCCAATCCTAGCTCCTGTGATACTACCAATAACGGTCAGATTGAGCTTGTCCTGGCCCTTCCGCACGGGATTATGACCGACTCCGATTGTGGCAAATTGGTGACTATAACCTATAATGGGGTCACCAAAATTGGGACAGTTGTCGATAAGTGCATGGGGTGCGACAACAACTCTATCGATCTATCGCGAGCTCTCTTTGAGGCGCTGGTAGGGTCTCTTACTTCGGGCCGAATTTCTGGGGTCCGGTGGTATATTAACTGAATGACGGTCTACCCGGATAGAGGCATGATTTATGGATGTTTCATGAGGAAGAGTAAGGCAACAATTTTAAACCTCTATGGATCTAGTGAAGGTCCGCAAACTAGAGCCAAATTCGAAAACGGAGCCCATTACTGAATGCCCTGCCTATTTTTCCTTTATTACGGACAGGATCTTACAAACTCTCTCACCCACGAGAACTCACAAAAGTATCTTCACGGACAAGATGTGAATACAAAGAATAGATTTTGGGTACCATTTTGCCGTGTCACCCTCAACAATATCTCTAGTCTGTTCTTCCGGACAAATGCTAATTTTTTACGTTTGATTCTACGTACCTATATATGCCCTTCCTTGCTAGGCATTGATCGGGTTAAGAGAACCATATCCTACAAAACGCCGTCTTTTTAGCTCAGAAATTTTACGTCTCCTCCGAACAATCCGGCTAGGATCCCTCATAATTTTGTCAGTCTATTTTCTTAGTATTAGGTGAACCATGTCATGTTCACACACTACCTGCAATTGTGTCTGTCGTCTGACCGGTAAGGTCACATCAGGGACTATTACTAATCCTTTTCAAAGACGAAGGGCGGGGATTGATCAATCGCAAGTACTATTCGAATTCAGTTCGACCTTGAACAGGCCAGACATCATACTTCACGAGGTAGATTTAAAGCATATGTACAGTGAGTACGCATAAGTTTTTAGACCCCCCGCCCCACACCCCCTATATTACATAATATACTGCCGGACGCAAAACCTCCGCCAAACTCCACACACCACCCCATAGGCCTAGTAATGTAACGGGCCAGAGCCCGGTGGTTAACCATATGCTGTGAAGGGCTATAGCAGAATTGATTCAATTGTACTAGGCCAACATGCTATTTACAACAATCTTGAGGAAAGAAAGAAGAAAGGACAGGAGTAGTCGCGGTCCTTAAGAGTGTCGATCCCTTATGCATGGAATCCTCTAGAACCTCGTGATGGAATCGCTCAGAATCCTTCTGCCAAGACGATATCCGAAGGCCATGGCATATGGTTTACCACCGGGCTCTGGCCCGTCACATGGAGCACTATATCCTCCCATTAATATTAATATCCTACCCTCACAGTCTACCATCCATAGGATAGATATTTCTACTTCTAAAGCGGCGGTTGACTTGACGGCTCTGAGCCCCCTTGAGATCCCGGGTGCTACAGATATAGCCGTCGAGGAGTATACTAAATAGCTAGTGTCGACTATCGAAAGGGATACCCTCAAAGCCGCATTCCGATAAACATACGAGGTAATACTCGAGAACGGCCTTGATCTCGAGTAAGTGTATAAGGACTAAGACCCAAATTTTTTCATCGAGAGAGGAATCAAAATAGGTATCGTACGTCGATTTGTAAAGAATATCGCAAAGTGGGTCAAGGAGGTGAAGAAAGCGGTGCCTATTTATGAGATTCTTTAGACAGACAGGTGATCATTAGAGTATCACGGCGTTCGGGCTTCCAACATCGATTATTAGACAGAGTAGCTCCAGATTGTCAGATTGTTTATATAGCAGAAATTATAGTATATCAGTCTTCGTATTTATATACTCGACGTGGTGCTAAATCTTCCTAAACGCCTACCTCTCCATGCCCGTAGTCCCTGGACAACACAAGCTAGAGGTGCTATATGATGACAACAAGTTGAGACATTTGCAGCAAAATTATTCACCATGGTCAACCGGCCGAGCGCAATAGGTGTATCCAACGATTTGTGATAACCGATCCTCAAATTATTAGATTCCGAATTCTCTTAACAGTGTCCGACGTTTATTGATAGCACTGGGCAAAAAGTATTCAGAGAAAGCCGAAAGTATGAATAAGTAGCCATGCCTCTACGCACTATAAGGCTATGACCAAAAGTAAACGTTCGTATGACAAAAAGACAGGGATCAGCCCCAGCCAACAAAGATCATCATTACATTCTGAACATAATATATGCAATAGCGTTCGAAACGTTATCGTAGCACTGTAGCTTATTTATCCGACGGTTTCATATCTCTTTCGGTATATAGAACATGGCCAGTATAGCGCCCCTCTTTATTATGATAGATATGAACCGGCTGTACTTTCTTGTTCTTGTATTATTCATCGGTTACCAATAATGCTGTAGCGTGCGCCTCGAGGTCGGTATGACTCGTGTGCGACGGGTTTCTGCAATGGTAAGTTTTTGGAAGTAATGACCTCATAGTATTAACATTTTGCTTACTTGAGGGTGGCGATGGTGAAATGCGCTAGGTCGGGCTTCTCCGTCGCGGTTTCAATAAGGGTCAGGGTACGATTACGCAGAACAGAGTTACGGATTCTCTGGGTGAACTTAACAGCATGTCGAGGAATGGCGGACATGGTGGCCTCTGAGCTTCATAAAGGTTCTGTGTGGACTAAATCAGTGTGTCTGGAATCTTCGTAGTAGCATCTCCCAAGAGCAGAAGGGATCACTATATATATTCTTCCATTACATGCATAGGTCTGGTAAGCGCCGCTATATTTGCCATTTTCCTAGGCTCTGGCATGGTGCTCCAATAGCCAGGATAGCTTCTTTAAGAGTGCATAGACGCCCGTCTCATACTGACATGTCCTTGATGACATGTTTCGGAGGTGCGATGCTGACCAATCAATTACCGCTTGAAACTCTGAGACTGCTTTTCAGATCATGTGATTGGCTATTCTTGCCACGTTATCCGCGTCCAGGGCGCGTGGGACATATTCACCTATTTTGAGCTCGTGACGATATCAACATTATTTGTACCGACAATATCGGTCCAGTATGAGGAACATCGCCTCCTTTCTACCGAGACGTATTGTTCCCTTGAGAAGTTCTTGCATTTTCCAGAAGTTCATGTCTACCAATGCCGACAAGAGCCCGATGGATCAGCCTACCTATATTTGCCCCATTGAAGCGGAGCCACTTCATCGCTACCGACAAGGCGGTTACCACCCAGTCACCTTAGGAGAATGCCTTAAAGCTGGAAGGTATAAGGTGTTGCATAAATTAGGATGGGGTGGTTACTCGACAGTTTGGGCGGCGAGAGATCACAGGTAATACATACAAAGTGTAACGGATGGTAGTCCCAGCTAATCAAAATATGCGCTTGCAGGACAGAGACTTACGTCGCTGTGAAGATTTCCGTTGCAGAACAGGAACATGATAGGGAGACGCGAGAACTCCAAACCATGAGGGAACTGGCATCTTATCACCCTAGTCCGACGCATGTGGTGCAGTTGCTCGATGATTTCGACCTAACGGGCCCAAATGGATTTCATAAATGCCTCGTTTATGAGGTTTTGGGGCCAAACATTCCGGACGTGATTGATGCCCATTTTACCGGTGGGAGACTCCCTGGAGGGCTTGCCAAAATCATTGCCAAGCAAAGTCTTGCCGGGCTTAATGATTTACACCAACGAAATATTGGACATGGAGGTACAGTAACTCACTTGGGGAAAATCCGTACAATTCTCACCTAAAGTAGATTTGCACACCCGCAATTTGGCCTTTACCATGCGTTGCATGGATAAGGCAACCGAAGACGTTTTCTTTGAGATTTTAGAAAAACCTGAAATAGGCCGTGTCCAGAGGCACGATGGGAAAGATCTCGAGCTCGGCGTGCCGAAGTATATCGTGAAGCCCACCTCATATCGAACACGTTCTTGGAACTCGACTCAGTCGATCAAAATAATTGACTTCGGAGAATCATTCTTATGTAATGCCGCTCCTCACACGCTGTACACACCTTTACCAGTTCGGGCACCCGAAGTTCTATTCCAGGATCCAATTGATCATCACGTTGACTTGTGGAGTATGGGCTGCATGGTACGTGAAGTGACTGAAGTCCCAACGCTATACATGACTGAATTGAGAACTATGACAGCTCTTTGAACTTTTCACGGGCCAGCCACCTTTTGATACCTTTCTAATAACGACCCCAATTCTCATCAGTCAAATGCAAGAGATGGCGAGTGACGATCTACCTAAAAGATGGCAAAAGATATGGGATACCATGGATAAAGGGGACGTGACCGCGGAAAGCTCCGGGCCCAACCTGCACGAATGGCTGGAAGAGGTGTATTTTGATGGACGCCGGACCCCTGATCTCACAAGAGAGGATATAACGAGGCTGGGAGAAATCATTGGAAGATTGTTGTGTTTTGAACCGTCGGCAAGAGCATCAGCGAGGCAGATTCTCGATGACCCGTGGTTCAATGAGTAGGCTAGGCTGACTGTTCGTGAAACCTGATCCTAGCTCGGGCCTAACAACTTCCTGAGACTTGTTCGATCTTCAACCCTGCATGTCGAAAATGGCCTTTAGCACTCTCTTCCTTTGCCCCCACCACACTGATACACCATTCAAGGAAGGCAGCAAATCCTCTCTCGGGGTCCTTTTCGTAGTAATTCCAGTTACGCCGAATGAATCCCTTAAGTTCAGCAAAAAACTCTTCGATTGGGTTCAGGTCCGGCGAGTACGGTGGTAAATAGATTAGCTTTACCCCTGCGTCTTCACACATTTTTATAAGTCGCTCCGACCGGTGAAAGGACGCGTTATCTATAACGAGGATAGATTTAGGTTCTGGCTATCTCCGGTAGTGGTGAAGTAACTAGGCTATAAAGTCTTCGAATACGGTTATATCCGTAGCACCGCGGAAGATACGCGAGAGAACAACTATATACTAGTAATATCTGGTATCTCTGGTCACGGTAGAATTACGTTACTTATAAAGAGGCCTTGCTAAGTGGTACCTAACCTATCCGTCTGAACCTAACGCGTTTATTATATCTAGATTCATCGATATATACGAGGTGGTACGATTTAAAGTCGGATAGATTATACAGATAGTAATCTCGTAAATTAGTATTTTGCTCTCTCGCACGTTACCGTACAGTTTTTTTCGACTAACCCTTAGCGATAAGGGCTCTCCGAATGCTGGAGGTTGTAACTATGGTCTAAAACTTATCCCAAAGGAATATAGCCATCTTATCGAGGTACAAGCTAGGTTTCTTAAATAGATGATCACAGAGGGCTTTAATCATCTGGGGTATCATAGTTCGTTTCCGACCTACTCGGGTTTGAGGGGCGTAAATGCTTCTAAATTGTCGTAAGTTTCTGCGGATATTGATGATAGTTAGCTTGTTGTATTTAGCCTGTGCGGCTATTTCAGATGTGGTGAAGGACTAGCTCTCTATTATATCACGTATAAGAACGAGCTTCGTAGGGGAGAGTCTTGGAGCTATATCGCTTTGAAGTAAATCCGTGCTAAAACTGGGAAGACTTGTAACTGCGATATGTCGGGAAGTTGTTGACTGATGGACGGGGAAAGGAGGGGCCGGAGAGGTAGCGTGTGTATGAAAGTTTCGTGTAAAATACACTTCCCGCGGTATGATTATTGTATTATAAAATACAGCGATCATTTTGGAAAGCGGTCTGAAATGAAGCCTGAAATACCTGATCCAATCAGAGCTTACATATAGCGGATTTATTTTCCGGGATTGAAGTCGCAAGAGTGTGGAGGTATAACTGATTTCGAAAACTACTGTATAACGGAATTCGGTCTTGTCTAATTTCGTCACTGACCTAGTTCGCCGACGTTTCAACAACGGAGAATGGTAAAAGTGAGAACCCGCGTTCAGATTGATGTTTATCGATGTGGGTTTTGCCCAATTAAGACGACGTTTCGCATATCTCGACTTCAAGTGTACAGTTGAATCTTTATTTGGTCCGTCCCCTGTCTTGGATTGGCTTCTGCGCCCTTTCGACGATCGTACCTGTCTTAAAGGCTGTGTCGATATGCTATTCGAACTTTTCTTTCCCATGTCCCGCTACGTTAGTGGATAAGTACCAAGGAAATCAATTGAATGTCTGCTTCTAGTCAACAATGCCTTGTGCGGCCCCACGACACCCAGCACTACAAAGTGTGAGAGAGTAGTTCCACATCTCGCCTATCCTTCCTTTCACTTTCCGCTATGCCAGCCAGCATGAATTCGACCACGTCCATGTCACCATTCGTGAAGCAGAAGTGGATGCTCAGCCTCGATATGAAAAGCCTGTTATTTTATATCGAGCAGGTCGCAAGGGCAGAAAGAAAACATCCAGAGAGCTTCTGCTGGTCCTGGACACCAAAATCCACATTTGGGCTGGCTATGCGGCGTAGCCTTTGGGTCTGCATCAATGACGCGATGGCAATTTGAACACATCGTGAACCGCATGATTCTATTGCCGCTCGGTGTGAATGAAGCACGGGTTGAGCTTGATCTGGGTAACAAGTTAATAGAAGATGGTCGTCTGTTTGTATGGCTGAGGATAAATCACTAGACGTCTTGCTGGATAATTTGGCACGGGACAAATCGATTAAATATTGGGAAAGCCCACTCGTCTAGAGTAATTTCTCACTTTCGTCCTGGTGACGGTGGTGTTAGCGGAGGGTGTGAGGGAGCCCTGACTGACCCCCAGTCAGTAGGTAGTTGGTGCAAATGAAAGCGCGGGATCCACCCGCTACTGCCTCAGCAGTCAATGATATGACAATTATCCAGCATTGTTGCACGTTGTTACGTCTGCTTTCGAGAATTCGTACTTAATGATCCCGTGGTCAACAGTAACTGCTTTGAAACCCCTAAAAGGAGGGGGCGTTTTAGTTGGTACAGTATTCGGGTATTCGGTGACGTACAGTGAGTACGCATAAGTTTTTGGACCCCCTTGGACCCCCTTGGACCCACTTTACTGACCGCCCAACGAATTCCGACCGCCTACTAGATACACGTAGTAAGATCTTATGCAAATGAAAACAAGAATAAGACCAAGCGAATCTTGGTAGAAGCTGCGTAGATTGCTTGGCAAAATATTGATATAAAGCAACTGTAATACCTTTCTGAGGCTATCCCTAATAGGGTGCAAGCATTTATTGAATCAAAAGGGTGGTATACGCCTTACTTGTGAAGGGCTGTAGCAGAATTGATTCAATTGTACTAGGCCAACATGCTGTTTGCAACAATCTTAAGGAGAGAAGGAAGAAGGGGTAGGAGTCGGTCGCAGTCCTTAAGAGCGTCCTCGGGTAGGATCCACTAGAACCTCGCTCGGACCCCCTTCTGCTGAGGCGGTATCCGGAAAGCCATGGCATATGTGACGGGCCAGAGCCCGGTGGTAAACCATATGCCATGGCCTTCGGATATCGTCTTGGCAGAAGGATTCTGAGCGATTCCATCGCGAGGTTCTAGAGGATTCCATGCATAAGGGATCGACACTCTTAAGGACCGCGACTACTCCTGTCCTTTCTTCTTTCTTTCCTCAAGATTGTTGTAAACAGCATGTTGGCCTAGTACAATTGAATCAATTCTGCTATAGCCCTTCACATACAACAATCTTCCTTCTACGTCGTTCAGAAGTATCATTGGTCATTGGAAAGCCCTAGGGAGTTGACCTAGGCACCTTCACCGGAATTTCATTGGTTTTACCCCTGAACCGACCGTGGTTCAGCGGTTTGTATACATTACAACGGGACCCTCGCGCAAAAGTCTAGCGCTCGAGACGCATTGGAAATCTCTAGAAGACACCCAATCTCTAGGCACATTGGAACATTAGAACGCTACCGAATCGCCACCGGTTAGCTCACGAAACACCAAGGCATCATGAACTCTCAGGATCAGCAGGCCCCACCCCCGTGAGTTCAGACGATCATGCAACAAATTGAACAACGCGCCGTCACCCAAGATGAAAGAATTCGTCAACTCGAAGATATCCTGGCACGACAGTCGGCAAACCTTCCGACCGAAGGAAACGTTACCGAGACGACCACGGAACCTACGCTAACCCCTGTTGAATCGATTTCGACTACCGTACGTAGACCTAGATCTCGACTCCCGGATCCACCACCATTTGCTGGGAACGTTAACGACTGGGGCACTTGGCGGATCACGATGGAGAATAAGCTAGCAGTCGACGGCGAAGCGATTGGGTCTAAGCAGGACCAATTTATGTATGTCTTCTCGCGCCTCGAGAAGCTCGCATGGAAGAATACTGGAACGTATGTGAAACACTCGCGAGACACTGCCGGTCCAGACGACCTGCTCGCGTATCTTGAAGGCATATATGGAGACCCGAACGCGCAATCGCGAGCCGCAAGAAGACTCCATCAGATAAAGCAGACAAACCGGCAGCCGTTTACCCGATTCCTACCGAAGCTTGAGAAGGAATTTGCAGACGCCGGAGCTATGAGCTGGCCAGACGAGGCTAGACGGCAGATCCTACTAGGCGCGTTGAACGAAGAGATGAGTGCTGCGCTAATGAATCGCGGCATTCCCGCCACCTATTCGGGGCTGGTTGGCCGGCTGCATGAAATTACGACCGATATGGATGCTTTGAATCTGAGTAAGGGTCGAACCAACAAATCACTCCGTCGCCAACAGAAGGACCCGGACGAGATGGATTGGTCCCCTACTGTCAACGCCAATCGTGTTAATCCTCGAGCGAATCGCCCCCGAAAAAGTGTCGACAAGCAGGCGAAATGGGTCGGCCACGAAGAGCTAACCCGACGTCGCGAGGAGGGCCTTTGTCTCCGTTGTGGTGGTGACGACCATCGTATCGCAGGATGTTCCTATCGACCTGCCGAGCGCCCAGGCTCTAGTCGCGTCGCAGCCGGTCAGACGAAGAAAGACCGAAAAGACACCGGTTCTTTGCCGAAACGAAGTCGAGTGAAGAAGGCGCAGCCAGCACCTGAGGATGAGGAAACGGATTTCACGGGAGAGGAGATCGAGTCCCCTTTGAGCACTGAGAGCGAGTCGGAAAACGAGTAGCTCCTGTTCTTAGTCGCGAGCAGGAGCAGAAGGGGGTCAGGAGACTATTGGAGAACGAATCACCGCCGTTTCTTCTGGATGTTAGAGTGAATGGTACTCAGTTTGCAAAAGCCCTAGTTGACCAAGGCTGCCAATCTTATGCAACTGTAACCGGTGCACTCGTTAAATCTCTCGATCTTCCGCGCATTCGAATTTGCACCCGTGTGCTTGACGGAGTAGTAGCGAATCAGGGGCGAATCACCCACGTTACATACTTCAACGCCGACATCCATGGTCACCAACAGGACCGCGTGTTTGCATATGTCATCGAGAAGCAGATAGACGAAATAATACTTGGAGACCCATGGTTGGCGGATGTCAATGGAAGATATTCGGCAAGGAAGGGGTATCTCGATATCTTCGACAAGGATGGCCGCCAAACACGCTGTTGGAATCGGCGAGACCCCTCAATCGGACCACCTGGAGTGAAGACCTTACGGGTGAACAAGGCGTCAGCGCAGTCGATTCGCCAGCTATTCGATAGCGCTCCGGAACCGGAACGACTGCAGATTGGAAAGGTCACATTGGACGACATCGACAAAGCGTTGCAACCAAAAAAGCACATCGATCCGAAGGAAAAGCTGCCAAAACATTACTGGAAATGGCTCAAAGTTTTCAGTCAACAGTTAGCCGAGAAGCTACCACCACATCGTCCAGGAATCGATCATAAGATCCCACTGAAACGCGACCGGAACGGCAACGAAGAGACACCCCCTTATGGGCCCTTGTACAGCATGAATAAGGAAGAGTTGCTATATCTACGCAAGACTTTAACTGACCTGTTGGGCAAGAATTTTATACGCGTTAGCAACTCACCCGCTGCGGCTCCAGTCCTCCTCGTACGCAAGCCAGGCGGAGGTGTGCGATTCTGCGTCGACTATCGAGGGTTGAACGAACTAAGTGTAGAGGACCGATACCCACTGCCATTAATCCGCGAAACCCTTAGGAATATGGCAAAGGCAAGACGGTTCACAAAACTCGATGTGATTGCGGCATTCCATAAGATCCGAATCGCTCCAGGCGAAGAGTGGAAGACGGCGTTTCGAACCCGATACGGTCTCTATGAGTGGAATGTTACCCCATTTGGTCTTACCGGAGCGCCAGCGACCTTTCAGCGGTTCATCAACCAAACCTTACAGCAATATCTTGACGACTTTGTATCAGCCTATGTCGATGATATCATCATTTACTCGAACGGATCACTGTCGGATCACCGCCGAAAAGTAGGCAAAGTACTGCAGAAGCTCAAGGAAGCAGGGTTGCAGTGTGATATTGGAAAGTCAGAATTCGAACAGAGCACTGTCAAATACCTTGGATTCGTCATTCGTGCAGAAGAAGGCATTCATGTGGATCCTAAGAAGGTCGAAGCTATCAGGGCATGGGAGACCCCAAAGACAATTCGCGAAGTACGGGGATTCTTGGGATTCGCTAACTTTTACCGGTCGTTTATCCCTCATTTCGCCACCTTATCGGTCCCGTTGACCAAGTTGACAAAGAAGGACGCTATATTCCAGTGGGATGAGTCATGCCAGCAGGCCTTCAACGAATTAAAGGAGCTCTTCATTAATGCACCGATCCTGGCGCACTTCGAAGAAGGCAGGGAAACGGTGCTGGAAGCGGACGCATCAGGATGGGCTACCGGGGCGGTATTGTCTCAGCGACAGGATGATAGCAGATTAGTTCCGTGCGCGTATATCTCACAGAAGTTCTCGCCAGCCGAGTCAAACTACGAGATCCACGATAAGGAGCTTTTGGCGATAATTCGCGCCTTACGGGAGTGGAGGGCTGAGTTAAAGATGGTCCCTCGATTCACTATCGTAACGGACCATAAGAACCTGCGATACTTCAATAAGGCGAGACATCTGTCTGAGCGCCAGATGCGATGGGCAGACTTAATGAGCGAATTCGACTTTACGCTACAATCTCGGCCAGGGCGACATGCATCACGCCCTGATGCACTTTCTCGGCGTAGTCAGGATATGCCACAAAGTTTCGAAGATGAAAGGCTATCGAATCGGTTCCGAAAGGTGTTCGAAAAGGTCACGATTCGAACGGGTCGTCCCCGCATGAGCGATTCTGATGATGATGCCCCACTGGACTTCGAGCGAGAGATACCATTGTTCGAAGAGGAAGAGTTCCAACGAGAATGGCAACAGGCTCGACGAATCGACACTACCTATCAAGCGCATCAAAGGCATTGAAGGACGGGGAACGGCGAGTTGCGGCCGAAACGAACACGAAAACCAGCCTTTCTGAGTGTCATCTGGACAAAGAGGCTTGCTGTGCTTTAGGCAGAGGATCTGGATTCCTGAGAGCGAGCCGCTACGCACTGGCATCATTCAGAAAATTCATGACTCCCACGTTACGGGTCATCCAGGTCGAGACGCCACCTATGCGATACTGTCTCGGCGGTTCTTCTGGCCTGGAGCGGCGAAGGATGTGAGGAGATTCTTGCGAAACTGCACAATCTGCGGCAGAAGCACGGCATGGCGTGACACGAAGCATGGGTTATTGAGGCCACTGCCGATTCCCCAGCGAATCTGGGCCGAAATCTCAATGGACTTTGTCACCGACCTTCCCCCGTCGAAAGACAATCAAGCCACGAACCTTCTAGTCATAACAGACCGATTAACGAAGGGAGTTATCTTAGTCGGTATGGTCGAGACGACGGCAGAGCGAGTAGCTGAGGCCTTCCTGACGCATTTCTACATGCACCATGGGCTCCCTCTGGCGATTACGAGTGATCGGGGTCCGCAATTTATTAGCAGGTTCTGGGAAGTCGTCTGCAAAAGTTATCGATTCGACGCCGACCCTCCACGGCTTTCCATCCGCAGACAGACGGTTCCACTGAACGCGCGAACCAGGAAGTTGAAAGAATCTTGCGGGTATTCACATCTTATGCGCAGAACGATTGGGAAGGACTGCTCCCAGTCATTGCGGTGGCGATCAATAACCGAGATGCTGCATCGATTGGAATATCACCGTTCTTCTTCACACACGGTTATCACGTCGACCCTATTGGAATTGAGGAAGCGAACTTTACCAACGGATCTAGTATTATTGGCCCTCAACGAGCGGGAGAAGCGTTCGTGAAACGCCTCCGAGATGCAACCGACTGGGCGCAGGCCGCTATTGCGACCGCGCAGGATAAGCAGGAAGAGAATGCCAATCGGTCTCGTCAGGCAGCACCGGTCTATCGAGTAGGGGATAAGGTATGGCTAAACCTTAAGAACATTCGGTCTCAGCGGTGTTCGAAGAAGCTTGACTGGTTACACGGGAGATATACCGTGCAGGAAGTGCCATCGCCACACACTGTTCGACTCGATATGCCAACTGGTGTGCACCCAGTGTTCCATGTGGACCTTATACGACCTGCAGCGTCGGACCCGTTACCCTCGCAAATCGTTGACGATTCGCAGCCTCCTCCCCTTGTAGTCGATGGTGAACTGGAGTACCAGGTCGAGGAGATATTGGACCACAGGGTGCGCAGAGTAGGAAGAGGGACCAGAGCAGAAGTCCTAGTGAAGTGGGCAGGTTATGCAGAGACTACGTGGGAACCGTTGAGCTCTGTCGAAAACTGTGAGGCGCTTGACAAGTATGAAGAACGTTTCGGCCCTATCTCACCGGCGAATCGGCGCCGAAGCGACAGGGATGAGGACCTCGTTATATCGAATGTCAAAATGAGGAGGGGGTACTGTGACGGGCAAGAGCCCGGTGGTAAACCATATGCCATGGCCTTCGGATATCGTCTTGGCAGAAGGATTCTGAGCGATTCCATCACGAGGTTCTAGAGGATTCCATGCATAAGGGATCGACACTCTTAAGGACCGCGACTACTCCTGTCCTTTCTTCTTTCTTTCCTCAAGATTGTTGTAAACAGCATGTTGGCCTAGTACAATTGAATCAATTCTGCTATAGCCCTTCACACTTATACTCTATAAGCTACGATTATACATTCGCGCCCGTTGCAGAAAATTGAAATATACCTACTTTGAATTCTTGGCTGGATTTTTACTAGATATTACAAAAGCCTGAGCCCGGCCGAAGGGCCTAACGAGCCGCGGCCTCTACAAGCTTTTGTAATGTCTAGTGTGGCCCAGACCACTCTGGCTAAAAGGAGTACTATTAACTTCCGAGTAGAATTATTGGCGTAGCCATGTGTGCTGTCACCTGTGGAAATACTCATGCGTACTCGGACGGGGCCCGACGGCCCTCGACGTATCACAGTGTTATAGAATATAAGAAATAGACCTCGATTCTCGAAGAGAATTTATGCATTTGCCGTTGTCAGCAAAATATAAGACAGATGTTTATTGCTCTCGTGGGTAACTTATTTCACGTATGATCGTGTTAAAGCGGCCCGTGTCAACCAGGGACAGCTCTCCGGCTCCGGAAACAAGGTCCAGCCAGGCCGCGATTTGGTCCGGTGTGCTCTTCTTTTAAGGGTCAAGAGAAGTTTCCGAGGACCCAGCATTTATACGATTTTAGAAAAGCAGACGGTAGAGGTTTCAAAGATTATAGTGGCCAGACATATCAAGATGAATTGAGATCTTCGGCGGTATGTTTACGGATCGATAATGCGAAATCATGAAGTTTCTGGAAGGCTTTGTTTATGGAATTAGACAATTTCATAGTGGCGAAAGGAAAGTGTGAAAGAACGAAGCCGCTCGAGAGGTGGAAATGAGAAAATCGGAAGTGAAAGCGAGTTAAGATTTATTCTCATACCAAGAAAATCCACAGCCAAAAACCATTAACGAGTAGAGAAAACTCTCACACTTTTGTCAAGATTGAGATTAATAGTCCTCTCTTCTGTCATTGTGGTCGGAAAATCAAGGTCTACCTTGAATTTTGATTTCGAGCGAA